TGTAAGTTTTTTTTTTTAAATTTTTCATAAATTTTTGAGCTTTTGTGTAAATGAGTAGAAATAAATTATTAGAGTTAGAAATGAGTAGAAATAACAATTAAGATAGTTTAGACATAATGTATTAGATATTTGTTGGCAAAAAATGATGATAAAAACAATTTTTTTTTGAGATTGCATGGGGTACATTGACATCATTGACGCAACTTCTGAGTTGCAGAAAATTTCAGAGATTCATCTCCGGAGATTGCATGAGGTACATCGACACCATTGACGCAACAAATGTTTTTATGAGATTCATCTAGTACCATAGGAGGCATGAGCTACCATAGTTGAGAGCGACTGGAGTTACGCCGAAGGGTACATTAGATAGTTTTTCAGGGTGTCACATCCGTACATGGTGCATGCTGTTCCATGAGATCCGCCGAGATCAGCTCATCAGAAGATACTAGATGAGGAACACGCACAACTAGATCATGTTGATGATATCTTGCATAGGTGTCGTCGCATAATGGAGATTGCGCAGACAGACATTGATACATGTATCTTTTCTGATAGGTCTGATGTGAGGCAGGTCATAGATATCATCATGACGGAGGCAAAATGGACATTGTTGTACCGGAGACATCGTCGAAGGACATGAGGATTAATGGCCGAGGAGGTAGACGAGACAGAGGAGACATATGGGGTAAATGAGAGATAGTCAAACATACATAGTAGTGTCTTAGTATATACTAGTAGTACTATAGTCTGTATTTTATTTTTCCTGTCTTACTACTGTATTGATCTCGATTGTACGATATTTTTGATATTTATTAATATATTATTTATGTATGACATTTTTGGACCATCAGAAATTATGTACATAGAATATTTATTTTCGATTGTATGGTATATTATAAATCTTCATCTGAATAGATATAAACAAAATATAACATGAAAGACCAAGTTCTGATACGTCACAAAGATGTATATCCAGAATATTTACGGAGATGCATCTCCAGTCAAAGTCAAGTGAATAATGGTTTATGAGTGGGATGTATTGAATGTTTTAAATTTTTACGGAGATGCATCTCTGAAATATTTCAATGTTCATTCAGTATTTGGTGCGTCTGAAGATGCATATCCGAAAACTAGGAGCATTTAAATAATTTCGTGTGGTGGCTAAATATTTTTTAATTATTTCTTATATTCATTTTATTTTTTTTCTCTTTGTAATAAATATTTAGGAATAATTTTGACAAAAGTGCAATTAATACTATCTAAAATTTTACAAGTGATATTTAAAAAAGAACAAAAAATTATAAAAAAATGACACATAAAAAACAACGAAATGAGTAGGGGTGTTCAAATCCAAACAGATCCAAATAAAATCCACAAGCCGGTTTTAAAAAATCGAAAACCGCAAAAACTAAATTTTTTTCAAAACTACGTATATACATATTTTATGCTTATTTATTTTTTATTTATATAATATGTTGGGTTAATTTAATATAAAATTATTCTTACATTTTTAAATACTATTTATTTTTATCATTATCATTTTCTAATATTAAATTTTAATATATATTATATTAAATATATTATTTATTAATATATTTAGAATATTAATAAAGGTTATAATCTGTAATTTAGATATTTAAAAAATTAATCTAAATTAAATTGTATAAAATTAGTCGAACCAAACCACATTATATTTATTTTTAAAATCAATTAAAACCGAACTACAAAGATCTCTAAAATAGTTAGTAAGACAAGACACATCCTTCGAAGGGTAAAAGTAATCACATCATTGATATTCCTAGAGGCACCGTATTTTATTTGCGAATTAAATCTATAAGTATTCAGAAAAGTTATAAGGCATCGAAAATGATGTATGTTTGGGTGAAATGGAATATTAGTTATTATTTGTATCCTTCAAATTATTGGGTGTATCAGTTGTTCTTTTAGGCACCTTAATGTACCTAAGTTATCGTCTCGGATCTAATTAAAGCCATAAATACATGTAGAAAAAGAAAGGCTAAAAGGCTTGGAACACTAATAAAATGACAGTAATACTATCGTTATTAATAATAATTTTCTCTTTCTCAATTTTATTTATTAAATATAAAGTTAAAAGAAAATTTGCAATTTTTTTTAAATAATTATTTTTTTCAATTTATATATTAAAATAATTATCTTTTCAAATAAATTATTAAAATAACCACTTTTCAAATAAAAAAAATTAGAATCGCCACTTAAATTGGCATATGCACTAAAAAAATAGTACATAAGCCTTAATTTAAATGACACATTTTTATAATGACAACAAAAACTTAGATAAATTCAACTTTCTGTAGACATATTCTTAACCACTTATACTTAATATAATTTATTGTAGAAAAAAGTCTATTTTTTTATGTTGTACCTACTACAAACTATCGTAGGTATAAGTGATTAAGGATATATCTATGAAAAATTAATTTTTATCTACACTTTTATTATAAGCATGTGCCATTTTAATTGTACAATTTTATAGTGCATGCGTTAATTTGAGTGGCGACTCTAATTTTTTTTGTTTAAAAAGTAGTTATTTTAAAATTTTATTTAAAAGATGGTTGTTTTGATATATAAATTGAGTTCTTCTTAAAAAAAATAAATCAAGATTTGCAATGTAACACATAATCTTGCATGATACTAAATACGTAAATGTTACATTTTCTAATCCAAAAGAGTACAGTCAGAAACGAAACCAAAAAAGCGGTTGCATGAAGACCAAAGTTTTTCTTTTAAAAGATAAATAGTACTATTTCAATTTTTTTTTGAAAATGAAAGTTTTGAATATTGAATACTATCTCAATTTCTTTTTATAAGAGATAATTTATTTTTTAAATTTATTCAATAATTAATATATTTAATTAATTTTTAAACTAAATACATTAATTATTAAAATAATTTAAAAAATAAATTATCTCTTATAAAAAAACGGAGATAATATTAATATATCAATCATTCCATCATATTTTATAAAATATTTATGTTTCAAATAAAAAATAAATATTTATAGTGTGTCAATTGAATTGACAATTAATATATATATATATATATATATATATATATATATATATATATATATATATATATATATATATATATATATATATATATATATATATATATATATATATATATATATATATATATATATATATATATATATATAAAATGTTATTTAAACTATCTGTATAATTTCTTGCATATTTGAAGTTAGTTGTAGATTTATTTGTGGATTTATCAGCGCAACTACAAGTGTTATTTGCAAATTTATCTGCGCAGGAAAAAATATAATATAGATAAATTTGTAAATAATATCAAATCAATCGGAAAATTTATAAAAACGTAAATAAATAAAAAATTACAGACCATCAATTCAATTGTATTTAAATATAAGAGGGGACCTTAATAGCCTCTCGTGTTCAATTTTTTATTTGAAATATGAATATTTTAGAAAATATGATAGGAAGATAGGTATATTGATATTAAGTGTTCAAAACTTAATTATTTTTTAAAAATTCACTTTTTAATAATAAAAATAGTAAAAAATATTACATTAAAGTTTAATTGTAATATATATATATATATATATATATATATGAGTGATGATCAACTTATTTTAAGAGTAAGTTTTTTAAACTTATTTCAAATCATAGTTTTTAAATTGAACATAATCTAAAAGTTAATTAAGTAAAATGTAAATCTATCCATTAGATAAGATTCAATTTAAAGGCTATAATTTGAAATAAATTTAAAAAATTTATTTTTGAAATAAGTTGATCTTCAAAAATAAATAAATAAATAAATAAATAAATAAATAAATAAATAAATAAATATATATATATATATATATATATATATATATATATATATATATATATATATATATATATATATATATATATATATATATATATATATATATATATATATATATATATATATATATATATATATATATATATATATATATAATCTTTTTCTATAATTATTTTTTCCATCATTAACTCGCATCCATATACACTGCATAGTGTTATTGTTTTCTGCAATTGAGATATGTAAGAAAAAACCTCTTGATATTTATAATTTTTTTCATCATTAATCTCTTAGTCTATTCAACTTTTCAAAATCCTTTTATGATGTTTGATACTTTAGATGTTCTATAAACCATTTTTATAAGAGATTTTATTATCGAACATCATTCATGTCTATATGTTTTTGTCAACTATGATAGAGTTACTGAAGAAAAAAAAATCTAAAATAAATTGTGAATAGAAGACACCTCTATTTATATTATAAAAAAACACAATATACATTGGTGTCAGATGAATTGATGCCATCATTAAAAAGATATACACTGGTGTCAATTTGGTTGACAACACTATATATATAGTTGTCAGTCCAATTGACTAACGTCAGCATTAAAAAAGTAAGTGAAAATACTAATTCCTCTGATTATTTAAGAAATAAATTGTTTAGATTAAATTGTTTTAAAATTGATTAGATTAAATTGTTTTTAAAACCTAGATTATTTAAGAAATAAATTTGAAAATGTGGATTATTTGAGTAAAAATTTTAAATCATTATTGAGTATGAATTTTTTAAATTTAAAGCTTATAATTAATTTATGATAAAATATTTAATTACTATTATTCTTGTCATTATTTAATTATTTTAAATATTAAAATAATATTTTTAATCACTCATTCATTTTATGGGTGGCTCTCTAGTTTCATGAAAGAAGATAAATAAATTGATACTTCATGATCGCAAAAGGTATAGTTTGAAAGTGGTTTTATCAAAAGCAAACTGAGACATTGGAGTATGACAGTTTCGTTAACATATTAAATTGGCAAATTGGCAGTTCTTTTTTTTCTTATTCTTCTTCTTATACATATCTTGTCCCATAATCTCTATAAATAGTTACTAAATTCACACCTAACTAGAATTAAACTTTTAGAAGATCAAGGATGAAATTCAAGCCTTTTATCTTCATGTTCTTTCTCTGTGCAATATTTCTCATTTCTGTTGTGGCAATAAGGCCATTCAAATGTGAGAAACAACTTATCTAGTTAAATTTTAAGAATAATTATTTTCTTTTAAATTTTATTTAACGAACATATTTGTTTGATTTGCAGCTGGTGCAATTGAAGAATCCAAAACAAAAGGCTTGGGTAGAGGACATAGTGATGATGTAGATTGGGTAGGTTCAGGAACATGGGGAGGTTGGGGAGGACCAAGAGAAGAACGTGTAGAAGGACATGAAGGAGGTTCAGAAGAAGGTGGAAACGAAGAATCTGGCTGGGGAGGAGAAGGACCAAGAGATGAAGGTGGAGAAAGACGTGAAGGAGGTTCAGAAGAAGGTGGAAATGAAGGATCTGGTTGGGGAGGAGAAGAAAACGAAGGGTCTGGTTGGGGAGGAGGAAATGAAGGACCTGAAGAAGACGGAAGCGTTGAAAATGGAGATCGTCAGGAGTACCCATGAAAACAAGACACATGCATGCATTTGTGTCTCTTTGTTCTTTATTATAAGAAAAATTTAGTTTTTATATCGGGGATTAAACATTACTATACCAAAAAATACTTTGCAAAAATGCTTCGTGCAAATTATTTGCAAGGAGATTGCTAGGATTTTAACCTTTCAATATGCTAAAAAGAACATCAGACTAGATGCAAAGCGCGTCAGGTTTAATAATGCAAAAATGCTGCATTAGTTTGTCAAGGAAAACCGCTCACAATGTTGTGTTTTTATAATATATATTTTTTTATATTAAACATTATAAATTTTTTGACTATATTAAAAATTTACAATATATTTAAAAAATTAACTACGTATTTTTTAAAGAAAATTGTTTAATATATTATTAATATTTTAAAATCTTTTTTAATATATTATTAACTATCAACTACATATTTTAATATATTATTAACCATAAATGTTAATATTTTTTAAACATATTCTTTTAAAATCTATTAAATTTTTTTATATAAAATCTAATTTTATTAATAAATACTAAATATGATTTTAATAAAAAAAAGATTATTGTATTTGTTTTTTTTAATCAATTTAATATATATCTAACCCTGTTATATAATAATTATTAAACATTATCAATTTAATATATATATATATATATATATATATATATATATATATATATATATATATATATATATATATATATATATATATATATATATATATATATATATATATATATATATATATATATATATATATATATATATATATATATATATATATATATATATATATATATATATATATATATATATATATATATATATATATATATATATATATATATATATATATATATATATATATATATATATATATATATATATATATATATATATATATATATATATATATATATATATATATATATATATATATATATATATATATATATATATATATATATATATATATATATATATATATATATATATATATATATATATATATATATATATATATATATATATATATATATATATATATATATATATATATATATATATATATATATATATATATATATATATATATATATATATATATATATATATATATATATATATATATATATAACACTACAACTCTGAACCATTTACTTTCTTAGTCTCACCATGTAAAATTTTATGTGCTATTAATTTTTATAGGGATACCCTTACCGCGAAGTTAATACCCCTCTACACATAATTTAAATTCAAAATTTTTACGTCTTAAATTTTGTGAGGAATTATCCGTTGTAAAATTATTTTTTACTTTCTATTTTTTGTATTGTGAGGGATTTAGACAGTGACCATATCGTTTATTTCGTTAGGAGTTTTATCCTTGCAAAAATCCATCGTAAAATTAACAATTTTTTGTAGTGATGCATTTTTCTCAATTGCTTGCAATTAAAATTGCATTCTTTTTATCATGCATTAAGCGTATTGAATTTCACTTCAATGCATCCATGAAACACCTTCATGTCAACCACATGGATCATCATGTGATTAAAATCCTTGAGTAATTGTGAAGGGTTTGCATCCTGCATCAGTCTTCATTTCATCATTGTCATGCTCCTTTTCATACATAAAACCATGTAATGGATATTGGTCCATTATTTTGCACTGTGCAATCCCTAATACCATTACTAAGTTTCTCTCCTTTTTCGTATAGTTAGTGAGAACATTAACTTAAAACTATATCATAGTTTTATTTTATTCCCTTTATTCATGCATGCATTCTTGTCGCTCTTGTGTTGAACTTGGTTATCTGCTTTCTCTTTATCACTGTCTAGTCTCTATTATGGTTGGTAAAGGAGAATCCAAATATTTCATCTCATTATATGTTACAAATTTCCTTGAAGAGGTCTCCCGATATTAACTTAAGAGAAAGTTCAAATAGTTTGTGTTAAGGCTCAAGCTAGACTAACCAAAGCATTGAAATGAATTGGGAGAAAATTATATTCAAGTTTTCCATTACTCAATCATCTCAAATATTACAAGGGAAAATGGTAACTTATATAGAAAGTTATTGCAACTAACTTGAACACACTCATAACAAACTAATAATTAATTAGAAGTTAGTTATAATTCAATTATGTTTCTTTATGAATTTACTACTACAAAATATATTTTTCGTAACACCAATTTTACAAACGGTCATCGTGTTAACCGTGATAATAGTTTAATTTTTTTGGCGTTTTTTAGATATTTACAAAAGGACATGTCACAACGGTTATATATAACAATCGTAGTAAAATGTATCTGAAGCAAAATAGTTCAAATCCTAGCACTAATAATTTCCATTTATCATGATAATAATGTGATTGACGTTGTATATCACCACGATTTTTATTTTCAATCGTGGTAAAACGTGCTAATTATTTATATATAAGCGAAATGATCTCTCGCTTCATTACATAACAGTCTCTCTCAAAACAAAACTCTAACAACTCTTTCATATGTCTCTCTCAAAACGAAACCGTAACAACTCTATCAATCGCCACTCTCATATGAAAACCTCAAAACGAAATCATAACTTTAAATCTTAGTCAATGGATATTTATATGTTCATTTTCACTATAGTTTTTTTTTTAAATCTGTTTCAACAACTTGTTTCATAATGTTTAAAATTTTTGCTTGTTTTGACTTGTAGATAGGACGTTTCTTTCAATAAAAACGATGAAGTTAAAGTTAGCGTTGCAAACTTGTGTGAAGGATCCAGAATGACATCCATTCAAAATATACACAAGTTGGCAGCTCTAACTTCAGCTTCATCCTTATTTCATTGTGGATACCCCATTATTGGACATGTACGGTACGTTTCTGAAGTTTTTTATGACATGAAAGTGGGTAGTTTCTTGATGACGTGTCCCCACGTGAGGGGCACGTGGAGTCAGTGGCGCTTTCCTGTTAAGAAAGTCTTCTGCCCGACCAGTGTGGCTTGTTGAGGCTTGTACCCGAAAGAGGGGAATTGGGTGTTGTTGGGCCTCATCATCCTAACACTGGGTTGGGCCTGCTCTGTTGAGGGGCAGGACTCGATCCAGTCCAGAACACTATTATTAATAATTTTTAAAGGTTTCATGTGTTACATATCTTAATGTATGAGCAGTTGTTGTTAATTTGTAGCATCCTAAATAATATTTGTGTTGAAGTTTACTTTGATTTTTATTAAAAATTACGTGGAGAATATTTAGGGTGTTACAAGATCTGCCGAGTCTAGTTCATCAAGAGATACTAGAGAAGGAGCATGCTCGGCTACATCATACTGATAATGTCTTGAATAGGTGTCTTCGCATAGTGGATATTGCGCGGGTAGACATTGACGAGGTGTCAGACAAGTTCTAGATGCCATTATGGTGGAGGTATAAGGGACACTGTTGTACCGGAGATATCGCTAAAGGAAGGGGGAATTGATGGTCGAGGATGCATAACAGATAGAGGAGGTAGAGCATGCAGATGAGGTAGATGAGATCTTGTCAGACACACATTTGTAGTTTGTTATTATTTTATTGTAGTACTATATTATCTACTTTACTTTTACAGTTTTATTACATGTTAGATCTCGATTGTACGATATTTTCTACATATATTGCTATTTTATTTTCGACACACCTAGTATTAGTCTCTTATTATTTTGTACGTCTATTTTTATTATTATTTTGGATCATGCATTATACTTCATCTGAAAACAAATACGCAATTTATAGTAAAAAACACATGTTCTGATACATTTCGGAGATGTATTTCCGAAATATTATCAGAAATCCGTCTCCAGGACAATTCAAATGTAAATGGTTTAGTTTCGAAAATATATCTTTAAAATATATCAATATTTATTTAGAAATATGTGCGTCCGGAAATACATCTCCGAAATCTAAAGACATTTAAATGATTTCGCATGATGACTAAGAATTATCTAGCATGCATTAACACATTCTCAAAAATAATATCCAATTTAATTGTTTTAACATTAAACATGATTAAAATAATCCGTCCAAAAACACTATGTTGTTTCTATTTCAAATATATATATATATATATATATATATATATATATATATATATATATATATATATATATATATATATATATATATATATATATATATATATATATATATATATATATATATAAAGATATTTTAGTTCTTTTTATACTTATCTTGTCTCCTGATTACTATAAATAGCTACTAAATAAATTTATACTTAATAACCATAAAATTCTCAAAAGATCAAAGATGAAAACTAAATATATTATCTTCGTGTTCTTTCTTTTAGTAACAATTCTTATTTCAGTTGAGGCAATAAGGTCTTCTAAATGTGAGAAACACATATATAGATAAATGGTAAGAAGAACTGCTTTCTTCTTTTATTTTATTTATTAAACATTTTTATTTGTTTAATTACAGCGGGTGTAACTGAAGAGTCCATATCAAAAAATTGGATAGATAAAATCAAAGGCTTGAGAAGAAAAAATGGTGCTGGTGTAGATTGGGTAGGTTCAGGAACTTGGGGAGGTTGGGGAGGACCTAGAGAAGAAGGTGGAGATGGACAAGAAGGATGTTCAGAAGGAGAAGAAGATAAAGAAAAATATGAAGGAGAAGGTGGAGACGAAAATGGAGATCCTAATGAAGAACCATAAAAATTAGACGTGTGCATGCATTTGTGTGCCATATCATAATGTAAAATAATCACATACTATATTTTACTTGATATACCTAATAAAAAAAATACACCGTTTGATATTATATTCTTTTGTTCAACTGAGAACTTTGATTTCAATTCTTAATTTTGTCATGCTGTATAACTCAATAGAAATTAAATTAGTAGAAAATGAAAATGAATATCTTCAACTGTATAATGGAGAATTTTGGTACAACATAGAAATATAAAATATTTGAGTATAACATATCATTGATATCCACATATATATAACTTTGTGTGCTACTTAATTCCTTGCTA